AACATTCTCTAAACCAAAACTCAGAAAATCGATGTCTCAGTATGTGAGTTGAACTATGTTCTCCTAGTACAACGATTATATATGTAGTTCGGTACTCTATGATGCAAGTGATATTATCTTAGAGAGATACACATATGAGTGAACATTTATCTTTGCTCTTCATGGAAGAATAAGGATTAGAAACAGAAATTGACATGTATCTGCGTGTCCGTTTGTAATATAGTTTTCATATGGTAGCTATGGCATAACTATTCATTGTGTTATAATCATAATAACCATGGATTTCCTGCAGCTGAAGTAACCAAATAGCAATCATAACAAAACAAAGGCGTTGTAGTAAGTAGTGTACAACTAATAAGCTAGAAATTATGAATCAAGCCGTGAGAAACAATTATAGAAGCATCACATAGCTACCCCTTCATGTTGAATTAAAAGACTAATGTGAGCTGCAGAAAAATGAAGTAGACAAACATTTTACATAAATTATTAAGTCTAACTCAATTGGGCTTAAATATATTTACATGAGAATATTGTTGTTTCTTAAATCATAATTTGTCGAGGAAACTTGTGCATAGAATGATGATAAACGAAAGTTTTCTTTTTAAGGGCTATAATAAAACTAGTATTTTACAATTTGGTTCAGACTACAAACAGCGCTAATATAATTTTAGAAAGTCCTTGTTTTATTTTGTTATAATTATTACTGAAAAAAGGAATAGTGAGACAAAAGAAGAAAAATATCCGTCGCATCTAGACAGTCTCTTTGGCCATCTAGAACAGTAACTATTATGAATTGAATTTATCAGAAGTATGTAATATGATTTCATAAAATATATAAATTTTTCAAAGGAATAAGAAAAATTTTTCCTTGAGTCGTACTAATCGTATTATGTATATGTCCAAAACTAGTCAGTTATTATAAAGAAATATTTTAAATTGTTTTGTACGTTATCACCTTTAGCTTAACTAGACTGTTAATAGACGTCATGAATACACTGGAAATATGGGAATTACAATACAGTCTTGAAAAGGCATCATTTCATGTGTTAAGCTCAATCATCTGATGATAAAACAGTTTTAATTCTCGATTACATTCTCAATAGAGAAAACTATTTTACTCTGCTGTGAGCCTTTTTCCATAGTTGAAAACTAATATGATTATACGTTTGACGTTTTTATATAGGAACATCTGGAGAATAATATTTATGAAAGATTTTGTCAAGCATCTATTTCACTTAAAAAATGGAAATCTATAATAACACAAAAAAAGTATTCAAACATTATTTTATATGATGGTTTGACAGTTATTTTCGAAAATGAGAGGATTATCTATTACATTTCTAAATGATCATTTTGTGAAGGTATTAGATCCATCCAAACATATGTGAATTTACGATTTACTCAATTATTTAAAAATAAACAGTATCGTTTCTTTTTTATTAATTCATAAATAGATACCGAAGTCATACATTTTTCTGTATGCATATGAACTACTTGAGCATCTTGAGTAAGAAAGTCATGTGCTATGGACACATTTTGAGGAAAGACTTGAGAACTTTTATCGAACTCAAGCACTCGAGTATCTTATCTTATTCTATCGCTTAGTATTCTTGTTCATGCCCATGGATTTTTTAACTCAAACAAGTGCTACACACTTGAATCATATTAAAGAAATATTTTTAGTTTTTTTTTTCCATTTTACGTTCAAAATAATTCATCTCTTAATAAAAGCTCATGGTCACATTTTCTTGAGTTGAGCGCATGAGTTACTTGTGACTCATGCAAACACTCAAGTGCTTGTCTTGGGCAAGGAAGCCATGTGCTATGAACAAATCTTGAGGTCTACGTATGTCAAGTACATGAGAAAATAAAAATTTTGGAAATTATTCAATAATTATATTATATAACTTGTACATATTTCATTAAATTATAGCTTCATATTTTTTTTTATTCTTTTAAACGATTTTATTTAATTGAATTTAATATACATAGAACAACTAAATGAATTTGTTATTGTCTTCATCTTATTCAGATACGATCATAAGAGTTTTCCTTCATATCGATATGATTATACGTATGTGTTCATCTTCTCTTAATTACGTGCCATGGATTTTTCCTTTTCTCTCATATATATGTGATGAACCTTTCCTTTCTCTCTTCTTATATTATATCTTTCATGTTTTCGTATAGACTTCTTTTTGTTGTTCATCATCCATGGGATTTTCCATCTTATAGATTTTCCAGCACTCGTTATCGCTCTTTATATAGCATTGCGTTTGTTGTATTGAACAGTGTATATATACATAGAATGATAATAATATATTACAGTAAGATTGCGAACTCACAAAATTCAATCATTTATAAAAATATTTCAATCAACAATTTTTTTTCTTTTATTCAACTCGGAAAATCCATACGAAAATTTTTGATTGAATTATCTTAAAATTTTATTATTATTTATTCTCTCTAAACATTTTCAAGCAAGACAGTTCAATGTAAATTATGTAAAACTACGTGCTGCACATAATCAAAAAATCTACTTCTATATCTCCTTTCAAACTGCTAATCAATGAAACATCTAGTTTTTAAAATCATACTTATAAATATTTTTCTTTATCGAGGAAAAAGTTTATTTTCATAACTGAACTGAGAATAATTTGTTTTAATTTAATCATAAGAATACAAGACAAAAATTTACAAGTTTAACAAAAAATAACATTCTAAATAGATGAATTTGTACACAATGATCTTTATCAAATCACCTAAACATATATAAACTCTGAAACTAATAATCGTTTATACACACTATAGATATTAACAACACATATTCATCAAAGAAATATATTAACAAAAACCGATAAAATAAGATCATTGAGATTGTTGATAAATAAACGATTATAATTCATGTAAACAAATTCAAAATAAAACCATTTAGAATGTTAATAAAGAAAAAGACCATAATAGTGTAAATACCAATGAAATAATGAATAACATCTTGTTTTTATGATTTTGATAACGAAGATGCCAATTATAGTGTGAAATTATTTTTTAGTTTTCACTGGTTTTTGTACTTCTCTAAAATTAAAGATAAAAAGAAATTAATTCATGTATTATATATAATACTTTGAAAACATTAATGTTGTATTAAAAAGTGCACCAACATTTTCTTTTACAGCTGCCATTTCTTGAGCTAAATATTAAGGAAAAAAACGAATATTTCTCGTTATTTAACTATCGAAATAATACTTACAATTTATTTTAAAATTTTCTAATTCGATGGTTAGTTTTTCGGGAAAGTAGTCAAACGTCGGCGATAAAATGTCGAAAATCAAATGTCAACAATGTAAAACGTCGACACACTAGATATCGACAATGTAAAATGTCGACATCATGAGGGTGTCGGCGTGGGTGGGTGTGGTGGTGGGTGTGGGTGTGGCTGTGGGTGTGGGTGGGTGTATGAGTGTGGGTGTGAGGTGGGTGTGGTGGTGGGTGTGGGTGTGGGAGTGATTAAACAGAATGAACACACTCACACCCACACCCCACCCACACACAATCCATCACATATTAAGATCGGTTTACGTTTGTTGCTGGTCGAAAAGCTAAGACTAGGAACAGTTGACATATCAAGAAAAATATGCTACTAGAACGAAATGAAAAAGATAGAATGTGTTGAATACACTACCGTGATGTTAAGTGCACAAATGACGAGTGTTTATATATGAGAGAAGGGCGAGAATTACCTCGAACGAAAAAGAAACAAGGGAAATCATCTAGAATGTTCTCGACTATACTGTACAAATAGATTACTAAAGAACGAGAAGAAAAGAATATTTCGTTAAGGACATTTCACTATAAATGCGAAAAAATTCGTATTTAGTTATGTCCAGGCCAACACGCATAAAAAAAATGCACAAACAGAAAAAAAAATAGATGACAGCATATGCTACGCGATTTTCCTATATCATGATAGAATTTTCGACATATTTTTGTACGTCGACATTTTTTTGTCGACGTTTTGTTGTCGACATTTTTACTTGTCGATATTTTGTTTTCGACATTTGTCTACCTAATCAGTTTTTCTTTACATAGACTAGCTATTGATTCACTAAAAACAAAATTGAAAAACAACTTAAAGAAAAATGAAATAGAATTTCTCTTACAGATACATTAAAAAAGTACTTTGATCTGTATAAATATCATATTTTATCGAATTCAATATCTTGATATCTGTGATGACATCTAAAACAAAAACAAATCATAATTTATGAAAAATTCGAATTAATTCTACATTTAGAATAATAAATTTCTAGAGGACAAATTTATATAATAAACTTATTTTAAATAAGTTTATTTATTCGGGACTACACATTCTAAGAATAATTGTTAAGCTACCGAACCTTTTTAAGTTCGGTAGGAAGAACTTAAAAAGGTTCAGTAGTTTAACAATTTTTTTTAGAATGTATACTGTCTTTAAAAAAAGATTTTCTCTTACCGCGATATTTTTTTTCTTTAAAATTAATATTGATACGTTTAATACAACTCATTATTAACATATCTTTCAATTGTTTATCAACAACATAATTATTTTTGGACATCAATTCTTGAATTATTTCGCCAAGTGCCTACAAAAATATATTATGTACACATTCAATTTAAAATCAAAAGTCACATACTTTTAATGCACTCGTGGTGTCATCTTGATATAAATAGTATTCAACTTGACCAGTTTTCATTGTCATGTCATTTAGTGACATTTTCACAAATTATCAATGAAATATAATATAGATTAATATATCAATTGAACAAATAAAATTCTTCAATTGAATCTAATCGATATAATCACTTGAAACAAATGATCGATGAATTGTACGAAAACCAAAATTATCACAACAAGAACAAGAAATTGAATCAAGTCAATGTTATACCAAATAGATTATGATAAACAACACAACTAATATATATATATATATATAAGTTCAGTCGAAAACAAAGGATAGACGTCGAACTAAACAAAAAAAAAATAAGGAATGACATCATTATAGTGTATGAAAATATCCTATCGGTCACAAAGAAAACCAATTAATATCGACGCAATAAGAACGAATATCTTCATGATCGAGATAAGTTGTTCAAATTGAATTAATTTATTCGTTGTCGACACTGTCATACGAATCAAAACATTTCACATAGAAGATGCCACCAATGAACAATAAATTTAATTTGAATGTAACTTATTACTACGTAATATGGTGAAAAAAAGCATGGTGCTTGTTCACTTTAAACATATTCCATACACTAATTGGCGTATTTAACGCTCACACATCAAAGAGTGCGGGTGAGAGCATATGTCGAAAGTGAACAAGTACCAAATTATCTTTTTTTGAAATTTTAGCATTTTGCAGATATCTCAGCCGAGATAAATCGTATAATAATAGGATATTGCATCATTATACGACTTGTTCAGTTTGACTGTAGGAGACATCATTGAAAGAAGTCATTTGAAGTTTGTTTGTACAGCTTTTGTAGAAGCTTTTTAAGCATATCGTTTCTACAAAGAATCAATATTATGATACATATTTATCTCAGCTGAGATATTTGCAAAATGCTAAATGTCGCAATCATTATGACTCATCCGGTACTTCAATTTGAAAAGATTTTAGTTAATCATGTAACGTTCATTGTTAGTAATTTATTAATTGATTGGCGTTTTGGACACTCACTATCAAGAGTTATGACTTTATCGAACCATTGAGCATAAAGTCTTAAAAAGGTGTTTATCTCTATTTGATATAATTGTTAATCTAATATGAAATCATTAAATATCATGCATTCATTCGATTTCACAAATATTTAATATGTTTTTCGAGTATCTAGTAATCAAGAATTGTTGTCGCAAGATGTCAGAATGGAACTATTCTTCATATCATTTATGATTACTTCTCATAAATTTCCGAAATATTTGGTTATTATCGTTTGCGTAACATTTATTGCTAATATTCATTTGAATTGAATCAATTTGTAGAACATGTAAAATATCATTAGATTTACTTTTTTTAGTTATTTAATATTCCAAAAGAAGGAATTCAATTACAGAAACTATTAATCACTCGATAAAACCGTAATAGTCGAAACTGAATTGCTTGATTAAGAATTGTTGTACAATAGTGTGTATGAACAGATGATCAATTCTAAATTCTCTTCTAATTTGTAACAGCAATAATTCATCCATTATGAAAAGGATAAGAACTGATTGTCGAGCTAATCTCATATAAATAAAAAGAAAAGTAAATCAATTTGAGTGGATGTGGGTGTAAGGTGTGGTGTGGATGTCGATGCAACTATGGACTTTATCGAAAAGCATACCCACACCCACACCTACACTCGTGTTAATATAGCATCTTCAGTTGAATTTTGTACAAGACATCGAAGAATTATACTAATATTCATTAACCATCAATTTATAGTCTGACCATTGATATCCTAAAAAAAATATTTAAACTACAGAAATATTTCATAAATAAAAAAAACAAACATTTCTATTTGAAAATGATCGAAAAGCAACAACACATGGATCAATTGGTTGTAATTCAACTGATGATACAATACCAAATAGTGTTAATTGAGTAGAAGAAATATTCAAAAGTGATTGACCCTATTTGACAAATAGATAACGTAAAATTGGAGATTATTAAAAAAGAAAGATAACCTTAGATGAACTAATAGTAATATATGATTGTAAATGAACAAAATATACATCGACAATTAGTTGTGAAAGACTTTTCCATTTATTACCCGTATTACGAAAACTATCGACAATAATTTTTTTCACTACCTACGGGATGACACGAAAAGAAGTTTTTATTTATAGTAATAAGTTTTATAATAATTCAGACACTTAGTTTTTCTTCAAACATTTTATCGCGGTAACTTTGATTTAATATATCGCTGAAGATTTCTATCTCTAAATATTGTCGAGTTCTGGGCATCGACAAGATGATGATTATCAGATCATTGATTCATTGAAGTATTATAGAACCACGATTGTCTTGATGAAATTAATAGCATGGATAAGCTGATCAACTGATCCAGGCAATTTTTTCTTTTCAGAAACATATTTCAACGGGCAAATAGTACTAGCCATTACACTAATTTTCAGATCTCGAGTTTCTATGATATCTGATTGTTCACCGTCCGTTAATAAAACATTTTAGAAATTTTAACTTCTCCATTGTGACTATTTCCTATAATATCAGATCATTTTATTATATAGAACAATAACCATTTATTGTGCTTCTTATTCTTTATAATCAATTTTAAGTCAAACACGAAATCATATACAACTGGTTCCGATGCTGCTAAGGCTAAACAAAGAATTTTAACGATAATTTATTTTTTTCCGAACATTTTGTTTTTCTTTATAAATTGTTTTGAATGTAGCGTGTCATGTGATAACATAACAAGAAATTCAGCAATACGATAAATAAAATGTGATGATGCATCACAGTCTGCTACAGTTTCTTCAATCGTTTGAAGTTGATTGATTATATGAGTAAGAAAATGCTATTTATAAATAAACGAAAGATCCAAAATACAACGAATTTCATTATCATCTAGTAAACTATAATTAATACGAATTAAAAGTAATTCTAACCAGTAGATCAAGTACAGGAGCTAGAAAATCAGTGCCATTTGTATCAATATATTTTTTATGGCTAATTTTTAGTTAAATCAAAACTATAGAGTAAAAAAATAGATCGAATTCGTTTTTTTTTGTTTATTTCACCGTCGTCTTATACTATTTTCTATGGATTGATCACTATTTATACTTGATGAATGATGTGAACCAAATAAATAAATCATCAGTTGTCGAGTAGTTATTGTATGAATATTAGTTAGAGAATTATCAAATAGCACTTGTGAAGAAACATTCAAAGATTTTGTTTTAGTAGATGATGACGAAACGATTACTAGTTGATGAGAGTTTAATAAAAAATAAATTAAAAGAATATTTTTACACGAATGTTGTGGTAACGAAAAACATGATTTTTAAATTTCCAATTAAGAATTTACATAGAGATGGGCTTTTGTGAATGTTTCAGACTTTTCACTGTTCCTATTTTAAGATACAATTTTAGTAATAGTATGTGTTGTAGGTCGCTAACGTAAATCAGCTGATTTAATATCCGATTTCAAGAGACAACCAAATCAAAAGATCTGACACTTTCACAATAGACTGCTTTTGTTAAGGCCATTGAAATTCGCAAAATCAATTTTCTTTTACTATGATATTCTTATATTGAAATTTTCCTTCTCTAAGTAAGACCCTTCCAGAAACCTTAATCATAAGGGTGTAGGTGTGGGTGTCCGTGGGTGTGCGCATGATTAGTAAACAAACGAACATGCACATCCACACCCACATCTACACTCACACACCCACACACTCACATCTACACCCACACACCCACACCCGCACCCACAGCCTGTTATTCAGCAGTCGCCGCAGAGGTTTACCAAAAAGAAGGATTTTTTCAAAAAAAAATGAAGGAAATTCGAAAAAAGGTGAAAAAAAGAACTTTTGATAAGTCGTACGCTGCAACGGTAAAATTATATTAGAAGACCAATTGTGAACAATAGGAATAAGGTCAAACCAAAATGAATTTCAAACATGAACTGTTGTCTCCTTGTCATGTGATATGTTTGTGTAACTGTCGCCCCCATATCTCAATGACTCTCAGCAGTTCTACAGGTAACAGACGTGCCTCACCCACATGGATAGCTACGGTCTGCATCGATTACGAAAATTTGTGCATTATCAAAAGTATCCCTTGATAGGGTATCGAACGTGTGTAATCGTTAGAAAGTTATAAACTTTTTTTGTGAATTGATAGACGGACAGAAATTTTGAGGATAAATTACTAGTACGCTTGGAAATCCCATAGAGCAGTCAGAAAAATCTTCTAGAGTTTGCTCGACAAAGTTTGCAGAACCAAATCGAAGCATTCGGGGAAAGTACGAGATCAAAATCCTCGATTTTGCAAAAGTGAAAATAAGTATGCTAGGATTTTAGAGCATTATTGACTTTGCAATGTCACGTGTTTTTTAAACTAAGAAAATGAATTTAAAATGCTCTACTGACGTATCAACTTTCATCTTAAAGGATCATCTGACATCAAACGTAATAGATACTCGCATTTTTTTGCGAAAATAGCTACATGACATTACCGAGTCGAGAGTGCTCTACAATCCTAACATACTTATTTTCACTTTTGAAAATTGAGGATTTTGATACTGACAATCCCTTGCGGGTTTTCCCATTTGGTTCCGAAGACTGTTGAAGAAGCTCTAGAAAATATTTCTGATTCTACTGTCCGACTTCAGCCATGCTAGAAATTTACCCAAAACGTTTTAGTCCATTTATCAACTCGCGCACACAAGTGCTTATTTTGTAGTCATGATTTTCTGTCTATCTTCGAAAAAAATTTGCAACACAATGCAAAGAAGCCACTTCTATCTGCCACTTTTCCAAATAGTGAGAGATAGTTACCTTAAACGCACGATTCTCGCCGAGACGTGAGAAGTTTAACGTAATTAGAAGTTAAGTCAGCTGGTTGACTAAATTTTGGCGTTGAAAACTGAATTCAACTGGTAAACTTCTTCCAGCTTGTAGAAAGATATTTTTCCTCGTCCCGTATTTCTGCTACATCTCACTCGGATCGAGATACTTTATTACTCGCTCGATCCAGATATGCTTTTTTCAAGCTTCTTATTTTAAACGGCGTTTCAAGGTGATTTTTATGTTCTCCAATGATTTGAGTTAACTAGACAAATGTCGAAATTTCTTGATCTATGTGCATGTGCACAGCTTGAAATACTTCTCAAGTTGTTTGATCGGTGTAAAGTTCAATTATAGCTCATCATTTTTTTTTACCAGAATAGTGAAAAAAATGTCTCTGAAACCCTAACTCGATCAAAGACTTGAGAAGCATAAAATAACTATTTTTGAAACGAAGAGATCTTGCAGAGATGTCCATCGCGGCTGAAAATCTGCCGCTGCCGCGCCGCGGCCTTAGAAAAAAAAAGCTGCCGCACCGCAGCCGCGCCGCGACGGTCTATAAAAAAATGTTGCCGCGGCGCTGCCGCGCCACGATGGCTTATAAAAAAACGTTGCCGCGCCGCTGCCGCGATGAATTATCAAATAAACGTGCCGCCGCCGCGCCGCTGCTGCGTCGGTTTACAAAAAAGTGTTTCTAATTTCACTGCTGCGACTATATTTGACCAGAGATATTGGTACTAGTCCATCAGATTCATTCAGTCTCGGGATGTTTCATTTGTAAACCCTGAAATTCTATTAAATTCATGCAGTTTTTCAATGTTCCCCAAAAAAATCCAGCCGCTGCAGCGCCGCTGCCGCGATGATTTTTAAAAAATCTACCGCTACCGCGCCGCTGCTGCGATGATTTTTTAAAAAACCTGCCGCTGCCGCCACAGGCCATCGCGGCAGCGCTGCGATGGACATCTCTGAGATCTTGTATCATGCTTCGAATTGATTGATCAACTTGAGTTACGTCGAAGATTGATAGTAGAC